GACCATCATTTCCACCCTATCAACCCCTAACCTGCCCACTACCTCTTGTCGAACGCTCTCAACAGTCTCTACCCTATCCTCCGCCGCAGCTACAACCAAAACCGGGACCTCAATCTTCCCAACATCAGCTGACACATCCTCTTCACATAGCCCATATTTCGGCCAGGCGATTTTCGCAGCTGGGTCCCCCGAGGCACTACCAGCGGCGATGCGACGGATTTCATCGTCGGATAGTAGAGATGTAGGAGAAGTCAGGACGTTCCTGACAACGAACTCTGCTGATTCGACGGAATCGTAGGCGTAGATTTGTTGTTCCTTCATCTCGGGTGGGAGATGAAGAGGTACGGTGGGGGCGGGAGCGAGGAGGATTAGAGCTTTCAAGCGTGCGGGTTGATGACTGGCGATCAGCTGGGCGACCTTTCCACCCATCGAATGCCCAACAAGGACGAAGTGGGTGATTTTCAAGTGATCGATGAGACTCTCGATGTCGGAGGCGAGCTGGGTTACAGAGTATTATGTTGGATCATTGGATGGACCCGCAGAGCTGCCCCATCCCCGGAAATCGGGCAGTAGCAAAGGGTACTGGGACAGTAGATGAGCGAGTTTGTGATAGGTGGATGAGGAGCCGCCCCAGTAATGGAGGAAGATGAGGGTTGGATGAGATGGGTTTGGTGGATCGGAGACGAGGAAGTGGAGATTAACTGTGGATGAGACGGAGAATGTTTGCGACTGGAGGTGTGCCATATTAGTTTGCGGTGCGATTGATAGGGTAGCTGTGGCCTGTTATAGGGAGGCATTGGGTGCCGCTGCGTAGCGTGAGGCGGCGCAGTTGATGGGTCTTGCTAACCCTCGTCATCGGAGTGTTCTGATGAGTAACTTGCAAGATGTGAACGGCCAGCGAGAAAACCTGACCGAAGTCCCACGCTCAGGCGAACGGCACAAATCCTTGTCCAGAGCATTAGCCTCGAACCGAAAAATAGTTTGTGAGATCGTACAGTTTCACGTTCTGGGGAAAGTCGTACACTCATCCGACTTATCACCCGCAGCTTTGAAAGCCTCGCTCCCGCCCCCCACTACCCCTCTCCATCTCTCGCCCGAAAGGAAGGAACGTCAAATGCCAACGATTCCATCCAATTAGCATAAGTAGTGGGGGCTCCGGACCAGGTTGTCAAGTGCGTCAACGAATTCCTTGACCGAGCTTTGAAACTCATCTCGAATGTTTGAATTCCAAGAGATACCCTCCCTCCCAATACACATGCAATACTGACTCCTGCGTCAAACTGCGAGTTGGATGCATATGGGAACAATTTGGGTGGTGTTTTCTCCATCACCACACTGCACTCATCCACCAAGTGCACAACCCCTGATATGCACCACCCGTAGCTACAAGTAGCGATCCGACCAGCGACCCAAGCCTGCGCTTGCGGGGAGCTCGCGTAAATTAAGCTTCCAGAAAGAAGCAGAAGAAGCAACGGATCAGCCTTCCACTTTTGGGGCCAATATCTTGGACCAACATCCCCGCCAAGTTCACCACCTTTCCTTCCTCCCATAACTTCCTCACCGGAGCCATGGGACCAAGCTCAGGCATTGGTTGGGGCTTCTGGGTTCAAGTGGATGGTTTCGGGATGGTGGACCTGTTGAGATGTAACAACGTGAAGTCGAGAGGGTTAACACATTACGTCAGCATTGGGATGGTGAACGGAGGTGCCTCTGCTCTTGTCTCCCTCAGTCGTTCTGTACACGGCTGAGGTGAGCAAGCTCTGCTTGATTATTATGATATGAACTGATTATCGTGTACTAGTCCATTGTGTGTTAGGTTTCAACAGGACCCCTCTGATTGGAGGGACGACGAGGATCCTTTTGCGCCAATGTTGGAATATGAGGACGTGACTGACGTCGAAGAATTCTCAGATGAGGAGGGAATTGAGGTGTCTAAAAGTGGTGCGTAGTCTTATATGAATGCGTGTTATGTACTGATTTTGATAGTCTCTCCCAAGCCGTCGCTGTCGCGCGAGCTCGGGGAGACGAACCTCCCTCCAAACGTCCCAAAAGTGAGACCATCATCGAGCCCCAAGTCTCAAACGATGGCAAAGTTGGGATTTCTCTCGCTTCCATCTCGCCTGATATCCTCGCTCGGGTACATTTTTGTTTCTCCCTCGGTGGTATTCGGTTCGCTCATCTGGTACACCTATTATATACAGATCTGTGGGTACTGCTCACCGAGCGACCTCGTTAACATCGCTCGCGTCAGCAAAGGTCTACGCATGATCCTCGTGTCGCAGAAGTTTGTGTCTGTTTGGAAAACGGCCCGAGTTTCAACCTCAGGGATACCTAATTGTCCCTCGTACATGTCAGAGCTTCGATGGGCTCACCTACTCTTTGGTAGATTTTGTCAGGTATGTTCGGCGCTGCAGTCATCTTTCAATAACAAACTCATGACTCGAGCGATACAGTGTTGTGGGGAAAAACGGACGCGAAGGATCGACTTTCATCTCCTTCGACGTGTTTGTGCAGAATGTCTAATGGAAAAGTAAGTATCATACTCGTAACGTTCTCATCTTCTCATATCTGATCTTCATCTGTCTCAGTTCACTTTTCTCCGACTGTGATGGATTTGATGAGCCCGATGGTCCTCGCATACAGGAGCTTCTCCTGACATGTTGTAATACCTCTCGCCTTTCGATATTCTGGGTCGAGGCGCTAAGTTTTGTCTCCAGCACCTTCGCCTGACTTTGAATTCTACTGGGGCCCGGATGTCAACGCCATCTCAAAGCAGCTCAAATCACTCAATGATGATGTGAAGGCAGGGAAGCCGCACGCTCAACGCCTGCTGGACGAATTCGTAGCCAAGAGGAGAAGAGAAGTTCAATTGATTGAGAAGGTTCGAATCGTTTCGCGTTTACTCCTATATATTCCTGTATTGTCGACTAAATATGTCTTTAGGATGCTGTCAAGCACAAGATATGGGCCGATAAACAAGAAAAACGCCGCAAGTCATCCCTGGCGAAGTTGACCAAAGCAAGATTAATGCAGTACGTTGACGAATATTTCAAGTCTCTCGAAGCTCATCTCTGTTAAGGATAGAGAAGCGCCTCGTGGACATGGGCTGGTCCAAGAGTGATATCTGTGCCATACGGACCGCCCCTGAGGCCTCCAAGAGTGTTTTACTATCAGATGGAGGTACACCACCCGGTTACGACGAGCGAACCTTGAGCTGATGTCCATTTGTATCTCGTCAGCTTGGAGCAGGGTCCTGCCTAAGCTTGAGGCTCACCTCGCAGAAGACAAGCGCAGGAAGCTCGAAGAGGCACGGGTCAAGCAAGTCGAAGCCCGAACGAAGATCTTTATTGAGGGCTATCACAAGTTCAAGGACACGGTCCATCCCACTCAACACGTCCTGTTGCCCTCGGATTCACAGGCGTCGTATCTCAAGGAGTTTCGTCACCTGATCGATGCAGATATCGACGTCGACATCACCGCCAATTCGTTTGCGAGATTGTTCGAAGACCAACCCGGCATCGTCGCTTCATGGGCGTCCGTGAGGGAAACTGCAATCCTCGACCTACTCCCCGAAAATCTTCGGAGATCCTACGTTGACGAAGGCCTCGTCTCGCCAACCATCGCAACGAATCTTTCCTCCCCTTTGTCACCTCGAATGGATCTGGCGATCCATGCTTTCACCTGTGCGGTTGTCACTATCTGTTGAAATTGCTGTTTGGGGTGAAAGGAGCCATGGGTGAAATTTGTCACCGAATGGCCTTTGATTCGGACAGTGGCAAAACGACGCTCCAGTTCAGCGCGAGAGCGTCCGAAGCTGTTACGACATTATCAAAAGCGTTGGGAATGAAACCCGACAAAGTTTACTTAATACACAATTTCTGTGCAAAGAATGCCCTACCATTGGCAAGGGGAGCGCACGACGAAAAGACACCTACACATGGCGCCAAGCAGTACGTGACAGTCCATACCTCATTTTTATCTCGATCTAATCTCCTTCGTCGCGTCGGTCTCGCCCCACATATAGGTTAAACACTACGTTGAGAAAACATCTGTTGCTCCAGCCTGGGAGGCAATCTCTCCCGAGCACTTTCCTGCGGTTGGTACCTTTGATTCTGCATACAACCAGGCTGTGTGGATTTGTAGTCATCGTACCATCTGCTTGACCGATGTAATGACTCGAGAAGCATTGATCGGTCATTGTCGAGACCGGTAAGTATGCCCCCACCCTTGATCAACTTGAGTGTGGTGCCAACCACATGGTATATGGCCATCAGAATCCGACTCCTGACGAGGGAAGAGACTTCTTTTTCGATCCACTTCAGGATCGTCTTCTGGGTGTGCCATCAACCATTCGTGTTGGTGCTGACGGAGTGCCTATCGATCTTTCCAACACGAAGACATACAAGTGTCTTCACTGCGATCCCCAAAGCAAGCGTGGCAGGCGTGAATTTGGTGGCACTGGGGTTGAATCGCACTTGAAGGACGTGTGAGTACCAGCATTGTCTGCTCCACATGAACCTCACATCTTCTCCCTAGGCATGCGATCCACTCCGTTGTTCAAGGGAGGGACTATGCGGCAGCGTGACCCGCTGGACCGATTCAGTGTCCTCTTACTTTTTGGCTACCCTTAGACACTACCCGTCGCAACCTCCCTTTCATTATGCCATCGTTCCAATATCTACCAGCGCAACCCTTTAATACCACAACCACATTTCGGCTTGTACTTGATTAAGACTTGCCTCTCCGCGTCGATCGACTCTAATTCAGTCCAATTGACAGTTGATGAAATCACTTGAACGACGCATACCTACACAACACCGACTTGAGATCACTGACCTTGGTCCTGCATCCCCTTCATGCTCCCGGTTGATGTTCTTCCTCGGAGTCGATAAAGAAAAGTCGTTGACGTCGGCACTTTCAAGTTCAATTCGAAACGAACCGTCTCCTGTCACTTTACAACTTACAAGAACAAAACTAAACCGCATTGCGGAGGCAACATATCCTTCGAACCGGCGTCGATCCAGTGACCTCGAGATGACAATATTGTATCCAATTACAGTCTCGCGCTCTTCCAGCTGAGCTATCGAAGGGTGTCGACTTGTGATCCTGTGCGTAATTGACCACCTGACACCCGGTAAGGTAATTCAGGCGTAGCATGATACTTAACGGTTGGAGACATGCACAATTTCCGGGAATGGTAGCTAACCTTCCTATTTCAGAAACGTCGGATTTTCGGCGTAGAACCTCCAGAATGTCTCCTCACCTCTCCTCGCAAGTAGTGCTCGCGCAGTCCGGCCAAGACGAGAAGAAAGACAAGATAGCTTCTATTGATAGCGTTATGTAGGAAAGTTGCGTTGTTGTGCTCGCTTGAGGTGGACATGGTTTGGTAGACGGACGGACAATGTATCGTAGATTCACACCTTCCTTGTAGGAGGGTGTACCAAATAGCCGTATTAATGTTCTTGTTAATTCTTGGTTTTGTTTTCCTACCTCTTGCTGGGAGGAGGAAGAAACGACTACTTACGAGTGTCACGGTGCAGTTGGTGCGGGTTTTTTGTAGCTGACAGTGAATGATCCCTGCTCGATGCACAGCCACAATGGTTTCCTGGTTTGGCAAACACTATCGGCTTCAAATGACTATGTCTTCCGTCCGCTGGGATACACAACGATGCTCATTCCTCCACCGAGGTCCTGTGAAAGTAGCCATGGAGCCAACACACTCAGCTCTCTTTACTAATACACATAGATAGTCCTCCACATACGGAGCCCAAACAAGTGGTTACCGTCTCTGGTGGTGCGGAATCGTATTGTCCAGTCTCGCAGAGGTCCTGGGATGATGGTCAGGGCGTCTGTGACCAAGTCTCTGCTCGATCCTCTCCTCGTGCAGACGCAGTGAGTACTACCCCCATCTCCGTTTATGAGTCCCGCTTACCTTGCCTCTTAGAATCTCCCCGACCATCCTTACCCATACTATTACTCCCCTCGTCGTCTTGGATCGCAGTGCAGCCGTCTCGTCCCCAAGTGGTGTAACTTCCATCTTCTAATCCTCGACGCACTCAGACTCATGATCGTGAACAGATATCATCGTTGAATCGTTCTCTTCAATCATCGTCTTGGGTCGCAGTAAAGCCGCCTCAGCTCCAAGTCGTATAAGTTTCCTCTAATCGTCGACGCCTCTAAAGTCAGACCGTTTTCTGGACCTATGTAAGTCGTTAATTTTCCGTCCGCTGGTAGTAATGACTGATGTTCTCTTTTTCCAGCATTTCATCGCCCTCATCGCCCAAGCCATCGGTGGCGCCTCAACCTCGCAAGACGCTCGTAAAAACAAGAGCACCGAGATGACAGGACGCATAACGTTGGGAGGTATCGTTTCCAGTCACTTACATCAACGTTTACTCGTCAGCTTCCCTCACCGTCTCCGTCGTCTGTGCTATCGAGTTATTCTGGCGGTTCTACCACGATCCACGAGTTCGTAAAGTCGAGTCAAACGCTACTTCTTCCGTCGACAGGATACAGGGTTGTCGAGGGCCATGGCTATCGAGAAGAACACCCGTCGAACCTTGTGTCTTGCCTTTATCATCGTCACTATCTTCATTCAGTGAGCCCTCCCCATCTACATAGTGCACCCAATGTTGGGCACAGCCAAGGAGGTTTGATTGTGACTTGTAGGTCTGTATACTATGCCGTCGAACTAACAAATGGCCAGACGGGCCATGCCATCAGTACCCAGGTCTACTTCAGTACGTTTCATCGTCCTCATATTCCAATTGTGCATCATCCTAATCTTCTCCATCCTCCTTCAACGGATATGGGGATGATCACTCTCCCATTGTTCAGCCCGAGCTTCTTGCACCCCGACATTTTCGCATTGAACAGGAGAGCTCAGGCTCGATGCTTCCAACTCAAAGGTCCGACTAAATCACAAAGCCAAGAGTTCGTAGAGAGCGAGGACCTAAATACACAGCAGAGATTGGAGTCAAGGCAGAATTTGATTGATGGGCTAGGGCCTGGTAGTATGGGGCGTCGCGATGCGTTGGGACGAGTCTAATTCATTGGATCTGTTCCGTTGGATGGGAGAGGGCCGGCCATCTGGGCCCTGAACGATTTGCCAGTGGTTACCTTGTGCTTTGAGCTCGGAACAACACAGTCATACAGGTGAGATTTCCTTCCATGTATATGATCACAGGCTGTACCTCACTCTCACAGAGCGAGGTTATTGAACTAATCCAACAGAAAACGTGGTGGACACACATTTGGCGTTGCACCCACTGCCAAGTTGGAGCCTTTGTTTCACTTTCAGTGGTATATGGATGCGCAGAGTCGAAGATGGGAGGGAGGGCGAGAATGTGTCGATGTGGACAAGGTACATAGTAATTGGGCCCGGTTGGCTGGTAAGGGGAGAGGGTGAATGGGGTGGTCAGGTTGGCAGTGGGCAGAGGCATCTAACGGTTCTCAAACTTCTGGGACGAGGTAAGCTGTCGTTCTGCCGTTAAGACTTAGAACGACCGTTGACGATTTGGCCTGTATCTATAGCGCTTCAAAATCGAAACCGAAAACCCTCCCCTTCGACCATATCCACCCCAAAACCCTCACTCGTCCAAAATACACGACGATCCTCCACGCCCCTCCCTCTTCTTCCAACTTCCGTGCTCTTCATTCGTATATCTATGGCTTGTCGGATGGAGGTGACTCCGATGTATGTTTTGAAGTGGGCGCCTCCTGCTTCGAAAGATGGCGATGGACGCGTGGGCAGGAACCATTTATCAGGGTACAGTGTGGCTAAGATGGACTATTTAGCGCTGGACAATAGACGACAGACATTCCGGTTCAAAGCCATCTGGTACGCTCTCTCTTCTCTTCCATCCACCCTCCGGCGTTCATGCGAGTTTATTTTGAGCAGGGACATAATCTGGAGGTCGGGGTGTCGACGAGTCGTCAGAAGAAGTGGCAGACTCGATCTTGGAATCGAGGGAAAGCTACCCAGCACCAGATAAAAACACCCTGGATTCAAAACGGAAGACGAGCTGCTAGGTCTGCCCTTCTTCTCTTTTCATTTCTGCTTCGATCACCCACCCACCTCTACCGTCCAGCAATACGCAGTCTATCATTTCCTCAAGCAACCCTCTCACAACGCTATCCAAACTAGCTCAGACATCGCGTTCTGGTGGGAGTTTCAAGAAATCAGGCATAACTAGGTTGCGAAGGTGCGGGCGGGGTCAGTGCACTGCGGTTGAATGGAGAGGTTGTAGGGGAAGAAGAGTTGAATCCTTCTTGGTACGTCATTCACCCTCCGTCTCATCTTAATTCATCTTAACTTCAATTCCGTAATACGATAGACTCCTTCGCTCGTACTGGCTTCATCCAGAACCCTCCAGATGCCTCACCTCCCTCCGTCGCGTCGACGAAATGCATCGATCGCTCAAGTCGCATCTCTTTCTCCTGTACAAACTCTCGAAGTCATGTCTCCGCCGCGTCTTAGGCCCGTTTTCCGAAATTGCGATACCCAACAATAGGTTGCAAACAGCGGTGGTGCTCCCGACGTTGAATGTGTACAATGAATTTGTTAGGACGAGTGGGGCCCTCGTCGATCAATTGGGTTGAGTCCTGTAGCAGCAGCACTTATTCTTGTCTCTTGCATTCAGCTATCTCCCTCCTCGAGACTGTCGGCTGAATGGGGCGAAAGTCAGAAAGCCCCGATCGCAATCACACCAGAGTCGATTCTGTTGAACGGTTGAGTCTGCTTCTAACTTACAAACGGTTCGGAGCCTCTGAAAATCTCATCCGTGCCTCCACAATACTAGGATGACGTGCACAGCCTGTGACGATACTCGTTGCAATGAGTTCGTTGGTCGACCGATTGTCAACCCGACGAAACAATGCAGCCAAGTCAGTGTTGCTCAACATCGTGAATAACCTCACTCCTAACCAAACCAAACCATACCGAAATTCCAGCCGAGTCGTTACTTTTCATTCAGCTTGGCCTACACACCGTGACAGATCGACGAACACTTCAAGAGAGATACTACAACAGACATACATCCACGCTACAATCCAAAAAAAGTCCAGCACAAAAAGGGACCAAGTACTAGTGCTATCGTACTTAGTGAGGGAGCCTTAGTACCAACACCCACACTGTCATCGGGGAAATCAACCATCCCAACATCGTTTCGGGCTGCCATTAGAACCCAATGTGGATGTATGGCACCCAAGAGAGAAAGGATGCCCCTTGCGAACGGAGTCGCCGCACCGCCTGATGTAAAGCAAGTGCAGCTTGGGTATAGTCTGGTTTTCCTCCCATCAAGATGTGAGAATAAACATCATCCGCAATCAGAGGAGCATCCCTGTCTCCAATTGTCCACATTGTCGCAATAACTCCACGATAACCAGCCAACAGCATCCCTGCCGCCAAGTGAACAGCCTCCTCGGAAAGATCATCGGAACCGGTAGCGGTCTCGCACGCGGAGAGAAAAGCCAACTCAGCATGAGACAGGGAAAGATTGATAATTTCGGAGAGTTTCAACCGAGATCCATTGGCAAGAATGAGGCCGCTATCGGTGGGATTGGAAATATCTTGCACCCCATGACACGCAAAGTGTACCCAGGTGGATTTGCCCATGTGGCGAAGGACATTCTCCACGGTGGCCGTGTCATCTATTAGAGCCACAAAATGGATGTCTTTAGCACAATTTTCGATGAGTTTGAGCTCTTTCCTAGTCCCTGGAAGGGGCTTGTGGTGGGGTGCATTTGGCTGGGCAACAGCGAGCAGCTGGAAAGGGTGTGGTGTGGTAACCTGGGGATTGTCGATGAGCGTGCTCAACGTTGGTATGTATGACGAGATGACAAAGTCGGAGATGCAGTTCCCAGGATCTGGGGCGTCATAAATGCCAGCGGCGTGGATGGGAAGGAATGCAAGTGGGCCAGTTGGGCACCACCAAATACGGGAAGGGTTACTGGGCGGAGACTGTAGTGAGTCAGATCCCAAGAACAGCACAAGGAATTGGAAATGAAATACTAACCGTAAAGGCTAGTGCATCCAGGACAGGTTTGACCACATCGGACCAGAGTCGGGCAAGGATCATTTTGAACTTTG